ATAAATATAATAAACAATATGAATTATATTTATCATTATTCACAAATATAACTACTTTTGAATTCAAATTAACATACTGGATAATAAAGATATTCGGTATAAAATTTTTTTTTTTCATACACTTGTATCAAGTTTGTATTTATACAACATAACTTGTAAGTTCCTTATAAAAATTAGTTATATGTTCCTTATATGTCAATAATGCATAGTAATAAACTTTTAATTTTCTTAAGTATCAAAAAAAAAATTTTTTTTTTCAAAATATAAATATTTCAAAAAATTTTTTGCACATGTATTTGAATATAAATTTTTGAGATTTTAAATCTGTTATTTTACCTTAATTTTAATTAAAAAATATTTTAAAACCTGCTGATTACCTATAGTATAATTATTTTTCAATATAATGCATGGCAACTGTTGGTAGTTTTGAAGTTTATATATTTTCTTGGCAAACTTCAGTTTTTGACATTTTTGACGGTTTAAACCAGTATTATACCCTTGTCATGTCAAAAACCACTTTTTGACGTCAAAAACCCAACCCTGCTTTAAAAGATGTGAAGTAGTTTGTTGTTTGAAATGCTTAGTTTTTTCGAATTAGACTTTCAACTCTAAATAAATCATTGTCTTTAGTGCACTCTGACTTCAACATGAGGTTATAGATCTTCCAGAGATCGTCAAAAAGAGCTCTCTAAATTAGAGCCTCATGCACATATTTGGAATACTTTTCAATTAATTAATCAATTTATTTTTTTAAATATTTTTTGTTATCATCTTTTTTGTGTTTTCTTATTTGATCTTTTCCGCATTTAGGGCAGAGGTTTGGCCGATTGCTGGGAGAGGTTTTAATGGTCTCTTCTAAAGGTTTCACTGTCAGTGTGTATATATATATATATATACACACAGGTATATAAAATTATTCTTTTCCTGATCGAATGGAAAGGCTGAAGTATCAATGATTCAACTATATATAATTTGTTAATTAATTTTAAATTATTTACCTTGAATCATAAAATCTCTTATTACTCTGTGGAACTTGCTTCCTTCAAACTTTTTGCCTTGATATCCATTACCAGAAAAGGCTACAAAGTTTTCAACAGTTTTGGGAACTACACTTCCGAATAATCCGATAACAATTGTGCCAAGTTTTTTGCCTTCTGAAGTAACATCAAAGTAGACTTTATGCGTAACTTCTACAGATTTATCCTAAAAATATTGCAAGCATGTTAATGATACAGAAAGTAAGCCATCACAGCTAAAGTTAATAACAAGTAAAAGAAAAAAAAAGAATTATTAAAAATGAAGGATTACTATTATATTAGAACTATTACATTGACAAATTTAAAAATGAAAAATTACTTTAAATCAAATATCTAATGGTATGCATTTTTACAACTGACACATATTTTATATTCAATAACTACTTTTCAAGGTTCTTTACTCTTTTTTCTGCATTAGTAGCTCTCCATCTAAACTTGATGAGCTTATTAAGTAATTTAATTAGAAATGCACCATTTCAAGTTATCACAAAACTAAAAATTTTGTTAATATAACCAAATTAGCAGTAATAATATATAATATCTTCATAATTGTTTTTATTGGAATTTCATTTTCACAAATTTAAAGTTTAGCAAAACAGGTTTATGTATTAAAAATTTTAACAAACAAATGTTTGGGGATCTATTTTAATTTATTAATTTAGTTAATATGAATATTAACCTTAATAATCTGGCAGATAACTCAAGCATCAGACACAAGAATTTTCTTTGTTTGAATTAACATACCATTTTTTTTTTTTGTTGATGGGGTTACATTGTTTACTCTTAAAATATTGAGTAGCCTAACCACAATATTGAACAATAGGTCAAGAGAGTAGTAAAAAATTTTGGTTCCCTTAATGTGATTTTCACTTTTGATTATTTTTCAATGTCTTTAGTGCAGTGTAAGCAAATTAAACTCTTTTTGCACACATCAATAAAACTTGTCTTGCATTCTCATTGGATCAATATTCACTAATCTTGGCTCAATAAGGGTTCAAAGGGCCGATATTTTTCCGATATGGGTCCTATATAGAGCTGTCTAATTCACCCGATATTTTACAACCAATATTGGCTCTATATAGAATTGTCAGATTCACCTGATACTTTATAATCATTATTCAGTCAACATAAGCCCAATTATAGGCTGATATTGACACAGCATAGGACCAATATTAAAAAAATCTAGAGATTCTAATATTGGTCCCTCAGAGCATGTTCATATAGGGCCAATGTCAAGCCCAACTGGGGCCAAGGTATAATTGTTGTTATGGTAGTCAAAAATATTATCTAAATAGCATAAGCTAATTTCATAATCTTAACTAATCACTTCTGTTTATTCGCGCTTGTGTTGCCACACTTGAAAAAAAATCTAAGTAAATTGTGTGATTGGTTCAATTTTATCCACGTCCTTAGAACCAGTCATCGTGGCATGTCCAGGGGTCTATCTAAGTTTTTTTGAGAGGTACCCATTTTGTGAAAATTTAGACATAATTTGTGAAATTTAAAAAATATTAAAAAATCAACACAAAAATAGGGTAAAATAAGAAAATATTTTCAAAAATATTTAAATATTTTTTGAAAATATGCTAAAAGTATTTTGTGAAACTACCATTTTTCCTAAAATTGAATTTGTGAAAGTACCACTAAAAGGCAGTCAGTTTGCCCTGGACAGACCCACGATGTCTGATTTCAAGCAAGTGTTCATGGTATGGTTCTGATAGTTAATGGAACTAAACTTTCCAGCCGGGTATCTCCATTTCATTCCCGGTCTCTCATAGTAGGGCCCCAGATAAAAACTAATGCTCAGTTGGCTAAATCCAAAAAAATCTTAAATGTTTCGCTTTATATGAAGTCCTCTTTAGATAAACTAGTTACATAATTATTTTTCAAAATCTCGTGATTTACTTTAATAATTCTGGAGTATAACAAAATTCATAAATATGTTTTTCAACACTAATTATTATGAAAAAAAATTACCTTAATTTAGGGGTGCACAACCTGCGGCCCGCGAGAGTTTCTAAACACAATAAAAATTTTTTTAAAAAATGGCAATTTTTAATCGCACTTTTAAGTCATCACGTTTTGACACAATCAATTTTAACAGATTCTTTAGTAAATGTACGTTTAACGCGCTTTCTTGAAGCCGAATTTATCGTAAATATTAATGATTTTTTTAAACAGTTATTTCCGCTTTTCTACGTGATTTTGAAAATTCCAAATTTTTATAATGACGCGAGTTTCAGATCGCAAATTTAAATAATCACTTTTGGGGCACCTTATTTGTGACGATTTCATCTTAAATCTAAGTGATTTTTTATCTTTTTTTTTGCGATTCTTTCTTTTTCTTCAAAAAAATTTCTTGGCAGTTATTGCTATGCGTTCCTACGTAAAAAATTCCAAAATTCCCAAATAAAAAATTCCAATTATTCTGTTACGACATGCAAATTTTAAATCATGCATTTGACGTGCTTTATTTGTGCTGAGTTCAGCATAAATATATTTTTTCCTAATTATTTCTATACTTTTACTCGTGATTTTGATGATCCCGTTATTTAACTATGATGTTATTACGACACGTGATTGTTAATCACGCAATTAAATAATCACTTTTTGATACGGTATTACCGTACAGTTTTATTGTAAATCCTAGTTATTTTTCCTTCTTTTTCATTTCCGCAACGAATATAATTTGGTCGAATGTGGTAATGAATTGTGATTTGATCAAAAACCAAATATTCGGCAAAAGGAAGAAGAAAAAATCTATTGAATGCCGTTCACTTGGGGCCAAATAGCAAAATCTTTTAGCAGTATAGCAACACTGAAACTAAAATTTCAATGCTCAGAATAATATTTCCTGGAAAAACGTTAATTAACTCTAAAAAATAAGGCCAATCAAGAACGTTTTTGAAAAAGTCGAAAAGCGAAACAAAGAACATAAAAATCAATCTTAATTTTTGAAAATTTTTTTTAAAGCTGAACATCTCAATTTTTCAATTACCAGAAAAAGCCAAGAANAGAAAATATTTTCAAAAATATTTAAATATTTTTTGAAAATATGCTAAAAGTATTTTGTGAAACTACCATTTTTCCTAAAATTGAATTTGTGAAAGTACCACTAAAAGGCAGTAAATTTGCCCTGGACAGACCCACGATGTCTGATTTCAAGCAAGTGTTCAAGGTACGGTTCTGATAGTTAATGGAACCAAACTTTCTAGCCGGGTATCTCCATTTCATTCCCGGTCTCTCATAGTAGGGCCCCAGATAAAAACTAATGCTCAGTTGGTTAAATCCAAAAAAATCTTAAATGCTTCGCTTTATATGAAGTCCTCTTTAGATAAACTAGTTACATAATTATTTTTCAAAATCTCGTGATTTACTTTAATAATTCTGGAGTATAGCAAAATTCATAAATATGTTTTTCAACACTAATTATTTAAAAAAAATTACATTAATTAAAATAATCCTAAGATTAATCCTATACAAATGAAGTATTATTCAGGATTAACAAATAATTAAAAACATACTTGAAAGTCACTTAAACTGAAGAAGATTACATTACTTTGATATAAATTTTTTTTTTCTTTAATAACTAAAATTTCATTTATTTTGGTTAAATGATTACACTAGGGAATCACAAACCAAACTTTTACATTTTTAGAATTGTACATTAAACAGAAGATAGAAATTGAATTAGTTCCAATAAATTAAGATTTTGATTCCATTAAGATTTTGTTAGTAGTCATTTGAATTAATTAATACTTACCACTACTTGATTAAAATCAATATCATTACCAAGTCTATTTTTAAAATTAGTTTTTAAAACTTGTAGATATCGTTTACGGATTTGCGGTGGCCATTTCTTCCATTCAGTAATTTGCTGCAGACAGAACATTTAAAGTAAAGATGTAATGACTGCATAAGCAATGGAAAAGTATATACTTAAAATAAAATTAATTATATGTATATAAATACACTAATCAAAGAAGACTTGCATTTTTGTTCCAGAATTTTTTAGAAAAAAAATTTAGTTTAGAAAATCAAATCACTTGAAAAATAAATTTCTTTTGAGAGTTGATACTTTTTCTACTGAAAAAACATTTCAATATGGTCAAATATAAATATTACCTATATTAAGAATAACACACAAACAAGAATATTCAGAATTTTACTCATTTATAGACCAAAACGAGACAATTATGTAACATCTAACTTAACCCACCAAAACCTAACTAATCAGAACATCCAAATTTAGAGTTTTTTTTTGTTTTAGCTGTAAAACCTATGACCTTAGTCATATATAAAATTATTTGAAAGATTTATTTAATATTGATAATGGATGTAACCATTTACGACATATCTGACTTCCTGAAATACACCAATCTGTGGGGTTCCTTTCAAGATCGTGATCTGTCGAGTAAACTACAATTGGTAAGGTGCCAAATAGATTTCAAACTTGCAAATTTAAAAAAAAACAAACAAAATAAGTAGTTGTTTGCCTGGGGGTGGGGTAAGAGTAATTTCTTCCGAGTTGGTCCCTAAACGCTTATAGAAATCACAAAAAATAAGACTACCAATGTAAAATGTATATATTTTGCATAGATTCTATGTTTGGGATGTTCCTGTATCAGTACTTGTTTACACCAACTTCATTTGCCAAAGGAATTTTAAATTTGCAAAAATTTAAAATTTTTTTTTTTGAGGTTTACTGGAAGCGGCTTTGAATGAATCGCTTTCTAGGATGTCATTTTCCTTCTTAGTTTCTCATGCGCCATTGCCTGAAAACGACTTGGCCTGGAGACTGATACAGAAATCTTCCCATTATTTTCAACATTTTAGTTTAAAAATCTCAACTCAAACTCAACGAGTAAAAAGATTTTCATTTTGAAAACTTGTTTACTGAAATATGTTAAGGATAGTTTAATTTGTTAAACTTGCAACATTCAACTGGATAACCATTAAAATGCATACAACTTTCCACTCGTTGGTTTGGCATTGATTAAAAATAACATGGCAACATTTGATTAAAAATTATACAATTAGAAAAAGAGGAATTTTTCTGTTTTGTGATCAGCAGCAAAATTATTGCCAAGTCTTAGCTTCCAGGTAGTGGCATGCAAGAAACTAGAAAAAAAAAACCCCATCTCAGAAGGGGACCAACTGAAAGGGTATAACTCATAGCCATCACTTCGCAAATATTTACATGCTTTTTACAAATATTTAAAAACTAAAAATACATTTGGTCCCTTGACGATTAGAGTTGAATCATGATTGAAAAAATATCCCTGCAAAAATAATATTTTGCAACAAATGACTAGGATTTCATAAAATTTAAACCCTTGAGTTCAGTTTATTTTTACTATTAAATTATGTCAGTACAATATTTAAAGTTTATTATAGAAATGGAAAAGGAAATGAGAGCATGAAATTCATAACTTTTTAATTAAGTTAAATATAAATATTCTTTCTAGAAAATATAAGAGAATAACACTAATTTTTATATAAGTAAAACTATTTGCATATCATAATGCAACTTTTAACTATGGGGAAACATTTTTGTTTTAGAAAAGATTCTCTTTCTTTTACAAAAAAAAAAAATATTAAAAGTAGAGGGAGCCACTTCAGGGGCGTTGGCTACTCGTTTCTTTTCTTTTAAAAGTTATTTAAGAAACAACAAATATTCGAGCAAATACAAATTAAGTTATTAACATTTGTATAGGAAGATACAACACTATAAAATATGGAAAACAAGCAAATAATACAGAAAGTTTCATTTTTTAAGAAAAAAAGTTTTCATTGTATTAAAAATAATATAAATTATAACCTTTGCAGACACTGTAGCAATAAATATCAAGCTGAATAATATTAAATATTGCATCTTTAATTTAAGTAATTCAAAGGAAGAAGAAAACTATTGTTTCAAACACATAGGTTTTATGCTTTCAAACTAGCAGACAGAGACAGAATGTAGACCGGAAATAAACTTTTTTTAGCTAATCATTGCCAGAAATTTGATGATAGTTTCCAGATGTAGCAGATGTAATTCATTTGCGTGTAGTGCTGCTACCTAGTGGTAAAATATAAAAAAAATCAAACATAAATATAATAATGATGAAAATAAAAAAAGTTTTGCTAGTAAAAGTTTCTTTATTAAAACAAACAAAAAAGGCATAATAATCCAATTGATTGTCCTAATTTAATTGTAAAATAAATTAATAATTTTTTAAAAGTCATTTCCTATGAACGGCAACACCGGCACATCTTGTTCTTGCGATTTCATAATTTGTTTATTTATGATATCAGTTTAGTTATATTACACTCGTTGATTACTAATCACTTGAACATTTTCGAGTAGTTATTTCACTCAAAATGGCTGCTTTAGTCAAGCATTTGTCAAAAAATTCTCGTTTATGTTATGAAGTAGCTAAATTATCTATTTTAAAGTATCCATCTACGAGATATTTTTCTCGGACTGCTTTTATATTGTCGAGTATGTAGAAGTCAAGAGTTTGTTCGCATTTAATTTTGATAATAATTTTATCTTATTTGCAGACTTTATTTAGCCAAAGAAATTTTGCTGGTTAATGCTTACTCATCTCTTTTAAATTACGAAATTTTGTTGGAAATAGCAAAACTTTTTCCTGAACGTTTTCATTGAGAATTGGCTATTTTATATTATGAAATATTTATAATATTTGAATCTATATTAAATGTAATAAATATTTCAATATATGTGTTTGGTTTATAGGTATATTAGACATTTTATGGGTTAGAGTGTAGAATAGGGTGACCCTTTTGTAGGGCACTGTAACTTCGAGCTTTTATTGTTGACGAAATCTTCCATTTTCCCTCTATTTCTATTACGATTTCTTGCTATTAGAATATCTTTATTTAAAGTCATTCCGTAAGAACATAAATTACTAAACGAGGAAGAACATCCTATTGTAAAATTTTACCTATATTTTCTCATTTGTTTGTAGATATAGATTTCATATTTGCTATTTTCAAATTTTTCAGAATTCACATTTTTTTTAACTAATTACTTATTAAGGCAAAAAGTTATTTTTATCCTTCCATAGTATTCAGGCCATGAAATTTAATATTAATGTATTTCAAATTCCTTAATAGTAGTAACAATTGTGAAACCTTAGTTTTAATGAAAATAAATAAATGAATTGCCTTTTTAAAATAGTTGTTTTGTAATTATTTGCCATCTTATCTTAACTGTTGTGTTGAATTTAAAATGACTTTTAAAAGTTATACAGATTATATAAATATTTACACACATAGTGAAATTTCCTTTGCAATTGAAATGGGAAAGATTGGTTATTGTTAATAATCTGATAATTATGGTTTAATTAATAAATAAGTTTGACTCAAGATGTATGTTCATATTTCCTGACATTTCATGGTTTCATTTTTAGATAGAAAATATTCAGATAAACATGAATGGATTGTAGCAAATGGAAATATTGGTACAGTTGGCGTGTCTCATTATGCACAGGTAATTATTTTATTATTTTCTATGAATTTATTTTTAATTGTAAAAATAATGTTGCTTTTTTGTTTTATGTTTTTCAATGTATTTAAATTGTAACTTTTATAAGCCAATAATATTGTTTTATATTAAGAAGTATATTATTTTAGGATGCATTAGGTGATGTTGTTTACGTGCAAGTTCCAGAAGTTGGTCAAAAAATTGAAAAAGATGGTATGTGTTCAATGTTTTTGTAATGTCTGGCAGCATTCTTTTTCTCAATAAAAATAATTGCGATATTTTTCTCAGTTGTCACTTTTTAGAAGAAAAATTCTATTAAGAGTATTTCCTTAACATAAATATTTAAGACATTAAAGGTTTACTGTAATTGTTTGTTGTTTAACATTGTATGTTAAGTACTATATTCCTCCAGAACATATAAATTGTAACTATCCTTTCCTATTGCACTAGGCTGCTTTTTAATTAATAGCCAATAATAATTTATCTTTGTCATCAGTGGCAAAGATCATAGTATGATCAAATCATAAATAAATTATTCATTTTATACATTAAGACCCAAACAATTTCAAATGTATTTGTCTTATTCAAATCAGCATGAAAAATATATACGAAAAAAATTATCAATTGTCTAGATAGTGTTAAATGCATAAAATAGTATAAAATTCTAGTACTTACTACCAATACTTTAAACCCCTTTAAATTTATTTATCTAATTGAATTATGTTTGGTTTCATTCAATTCAGCATAAAAAAAGCAAATAATACTTAATTTATCTAGATAAGATTATGAGACCCGCAAAACTTGTTTTCAATAGGTATCAAATTGTAATTTTTGTACTTAGAAAAACCTTTTAACTTCTGAACTATTAGCCCTTTTGACTTGACTGTGGTTTCATTTTGATTAAAGGATGAAAAGCACACATTTTTACAATAGTACAATACTTTATTTGTCTAGATAGCAAAAATATTTACGTTTCTTCGCCCAAATCTTCTGTGTTGCAATCCTTTATATCAACCACTGCTTTTCTAATGCTATCAATCACAATGGAACCAATTACAAAAATCTATTAATCGATGTTAAGAATTGCCACGAGGCGGCGCTCACCTCATATAACACATTATTATTCAGTTGCCATTCAACTCTAGAACAGGGAACATCCCCCTGTTACTCAGAATGATCTTGTCAATTTTATGTTATTAAGTTTGTAAATAAATGTTTATGTTTGTAACAGTTCGCTATTAATTGATCAATATATCACGAACACTAAACAATAGATAATTATCAAGTATCTTTTTGCATACCTTGTGATTGTAATGAATACTAAATAAAATTGATGATAAGTTATACCTGCATTTATACTAAATATTGTTAATTATGTACAAAATTTTAAAAAATTTAAAACCACTTAAATTTGTCTCATTGCTGGAGAAAATTTACCTACTCTTATTTTTGTTGATGACTCTAAAACAGATAGTCTGCTTTCCTGCAGAAAAATTTAATAATTTAAAATTTTACTTGCTGTTTATAGAATTATTTTTTCATTGCTAGACTATAACGCATTAAGTTAATATCTAACTAATAATTTTTTTTTTGCAAGTTTAGTTGGTGAAATAAAATTATTCCCCCACTTAAAAGTGGTAATAAATTACTATTGATATTCTTTTTATTTATTTTAGAGAATACTTGCAGAATATTTTTAATTATCAAAAGATTTATTGCAGAACATATAATTCTGCTCCTGAGGATGATTATGAATTACTTTAACATTGTGCTGCTATGCTTTATTCTAAGTTTCTTCAGCATTATATTTTATAATATAGTATGATTTGAATAAATATGCTTGCTAATTTTAATTATAAGTTAATATTTGTGATATTTTTATGTACTCTTAGTACAATAAGTCTTAACTGGATTTTGAAATTTTTAGAAAAGGAATTACTTAAGTCATACACAATCAAACTTTTGTGCATTAGAGATAATGACGTAAATAGAAATATTGTGGTAATGGAAATTTTGAATGAAGTAATTGTCATAAAAATGCATAATTTCCAAAGGGTATTAATTGAAACTTTGTATACACTTACCACATAGAATGAAATACATCCATAATACAAAGAAATAACTTACTATCTTAAAATAGTTAGATTTAAACTTTAGTTAAGGCTTATTATTATTTATAAAGTGAACTAAAATATACCTTATAAATAAAAGAAAAATTTTGCTGGGTTGTGAAAGTGACAAAAATTTTATTTCAAAACTATAAAATACTAAATTTTGTTACATGGCGTGAATTCAATATGAAATGTTATTAAGAACCTTTTTTAATCTCTGTTGTTTTGTAAGATATGTATTTTTTACTGTAATTATGAAGAATGAAGTGAAGTTCTGAGCATAATGTTATTACCTTAATATATTATTTTTTTTTGTAATCAATACAGAATTAGTTTTGAACGTTTTCTTGTTTTTGAACATTACTTTTGCAAATTAGAGTATAACAATTCTTTCTAAATACGTAAAGGCTTATATTACTGATTTGCTTTTTAGTATAACTGTGTTCCATTTGCAAGAATACATTCCATTTGCAATAAAAGTACATACATCATGCTTTTATTATAAAATCAAATAAATCTAAATTATTTAATGTATTTAAATGCTTACTTTCTTGGGAAATAAAGGACATAACGGTTTTCTAATTCTAGATTGTTCTTATTTGTTTTTTAGAGGAAGCAGGGGTTATTGAAAGTGTTAAAGCAGTAAATGAAGTATATACTCCTGTTGGTGGAACAGTTACAGAAGTAAATGATAAACTAACTGATGAGCCAAGTTTAATAAATACATCTTGCTATGAAAATGGTACTATTTTTTGCAAAACTTTTATAATATTTTAAAATGTTACTTATTAACACATTTACTCATTTCTTTATATTTCCTTAAAACTCTTTTTTTTTAAAATATCTTTATTACCTATGATTTTTATGTTATTGATGTGAAAATATGAATATTTTTGTTATTTAGGGATTTTTCAAATTATGTGCATGCCTTAATTGAAAGGTATAGCTTTTAATGTAGATATACACCTATTTAATAGGAAATAGTTTTTTACATCAAATATTTTTTAAGTCATAATACATTCTAGTACAGTGCACCACATAATTTTTCTATAATTTCCATAATAATGCATATTTTTTTCCAAAAATATTCTACTGTAGGTATCATGAGTTGATAGCAAAAGATACCATAGATAAAGAATGCCATAACTAAAAAAAGTGCAGTAGCAAAAAAAAATATTTCCATTTTTGCCAATTTTAACTGCCACAAATGTTTATGCACAAATGGTAATATATTTATGCAGAAAAAATAAAATACAAAATTTTAAAAATTAATGTTATAGTCCTTTTTTAATAAAGTAAAACACAGAATTTACTTGAAAGGACAAGATTATGCATACTTCCTTTATCAATATTGAACCATTTATTTATTAATGACTTCTTTGAATTCCAGTACTGATGAGTACTGTTTTCCATTCCCATTTATGAGTTGTAAAATAATAATTTTCTATGGCTTTAGGTCGGAACTAAGTTGAGGCAGAATAAAACTTCTATATTTTTTGATCTAAACCATTGTGTAGACATAGATTTATAAATGCTGACATTGTCTTGTTTGGAAACCCACTTTAGCCCATCTAATATAACTCTAAAAGGTAGGATATGACTTATTGTGGAATGTTGACAGTTTGAAGAACAGCTCAAAAATGCTTAACTGTTTTGTTCATAGAATGCAAGGGAACCTCATACCACCATGGAATTTAGAAACAGACATGGAAAGATGGCCACCATGTCTATTTCTAACTACATCAATTTGGCAATTTCTTAAGTCATGCCTCTAATAAAATTTTTAACCTAGAACGCATGAATTTCACGTAACTTTCTTAGCTGAACATTACAATAATCCATTCATATCCATATAACATTATAACATGTACTTATAGGCCCAATTTAGTCTTTTTTGTTTATGATGTAGTTTGGGACAAAGGAATTCTTCTTTCGCACCTTTTGATGAATATGTCTCATATAGCATTCACCTTCCAATAGGGTGAACCGGGTTTGAATCCCAGCAATAGCTGGGCGCTACGAATTCCGCTCCCGCCTCGCACTGACGTTAAATATCCTCAGTGGTAGATGGATCCTGGGTTAGTCTCCTTGCCGTTAGGCTAACCTCTTCGAGATTTCTCTCTCCATGTAACACAAACACAGTTTATTTCCATCAAAAAGTCCTCCATGGATGCAAATTTCTCCCAAAACTTGATCCAGGAGTTCCCTTGTCTTTTGGAATGGGTTAAAAATTACAAGGCTATAGAGTTGAACATTAATAGTCGCAAACTCAAAAATTGGTTGACTGTTCAGCGCTGGTTATCAAATATGTCTATAAGAGCCGTTGTGGCTCAGGGGATAGAGCGCTCGTCTTCCCATGAGGTGATTTAGATTCCAATCCCAGCAGTGGCTGGTTGATAGGAATTGTCTTGCAACGACCACAGTGCTGTTGTAAAATATACTCAGTGGTCGATGGAGCATGGGTTAGAACCCCATTGCTATCAGACTAATTGTGAAGGTTTTTCTCTTTATGTAACCCAAATGCAGGTTAGTTCCATTAAAAAATCCTTCATCATAGTTAGATTGTCCCAATGCTTGATGTAGGAGTTCCCTTGTCTTCTGGGTTGGGTTCAAAATTACAAAGCTATAGCTTTGAGATTTGATAGACATTAACTCAGAATTGGGTCAGTTGTTCAAGGCCGGTTATAAAATAAAATAAGTCTGTGAGTAAGGTATCTCAAAACTACGATATGACCCATTTGACTTTTTATGTTGTCACTTGTTTAACAATTTTGTTTGTAAGCCGTTTCTTTAAAAAAAATTTTGATCTTTTCTCATAGTCAGCTTTTACGGTTTTTACATCATAATTGTGGTGTGTAATTCCTACCATAGTTAAAACTCTACATATACCTCACTCTGAGCAATTTATTTAAATTTAAGCATCTTAAATTAAAAAAAAATTCAGATATTATCTTCTGAATTCCCAAAACTTTTACATGTGCAAATTGCTTTGACTTTTTCTTTATAACTGAAATTTAAAAGTAACACCAAGGAATCGTGATAGCTTAATTTTTTATGAATTGCTTTTCTTTTAATTTGAATTTTCTCCTGGCTATTTATTATATTTGCAGTAAAATAATTGGAAAAATAATCTGGATTATTTTGAGATTTATTGAAGATCATTAATTTGTTTTTCCAGAAAAATTTAAATGGCTTTCTTAAATTCCGTTTGTTAAAACTTTCTTGAATAATTTAATAAATCTTTTCTTGTAACTCCAACAAGAAAGAAATTTCCAAGTTTGAGAAAGAGGTGCCTGATGCACCGATTCTTAAAAGTGTAAGCATGCAAGATATGTGTGTAGAATATCCATCAATAAAATTGGAAAGAACTCGCAAGCTTAATAAATACAAAAGAAGCTGATAATTATCGATGAGTAGATACGGACGACGATAATATAGTTTTATGTGATCATTGGAAAGAAATATGAGAAGATGAAAAATAAATTTTTTTTTTAGCAAGGCTTTATATGAAAGGAAGAATCAATGATATTGATATTCTTTGAAGTAAATGTTTCTTATAGTAACTAAGAAGTAAATAACTTTTAAAATGTCAGTTATTACTTTTATTACTGTACAGTTACTACTTTTACTAAATTGTAAAAATATCTTTTCGATTCCTTTTATTTCCGATGGACTTGTATTTTGACCTGTAAAATATAAGGTTTAGTCGCAAACTTGAAAATATAAATTTGTTAAAATACGATTGCTCAGGAACTATTCGACTGATTATATTAATCATTGTTATTTAATCATTTGTAATCTACAATTTTAGAAATGTGTTTACCTTTTTTTATGACTTCTGTTGATTTATTTTGTAGTACATATTTAATGTTTTTCAATATTATAACCTTTGTCCTTAAAATATGTTCATTTTAAATTTAGTTGAAATTTAACAAATGAAATTTATTTTTCAGGTTGGATGTTTAAAATAGAAATTTCTGATCCAAAAGAAGTCGATTCTTTAATGGATGAAGAAGCTTATGAAAAGTATCTAAAATCAATACATTAGAGTAAATGAGTTTATTTTATAAAGAATACTTAACTTAGTGCAATTGTTGACTTTAGTTTGATATCAGTATTAGATGACTTTCAAAATCATTAAAAATTGTTTTATAATTTATGGAAAGTTGTGCATTTTTTTCTACATCATGAAACTTTAGTATTGTCCAAGCATTTTTTATTTCTTTTGATAAGTTTCATTATGTTAATCCTTACAAAGCTCTCTCAATATATGTGTGTTATATTATTGTTATATTTTCAATAAATTTTTTTATGATTTGTATAATTGGGTAGTATTTTTTGTTTTGTTTTATGTATTGTTGTTATTGAGTGTAAAATACCAGTATTAGCTCCATTATCTCATATTTTTTTTAAAAATAATTGTTTGTGTCTTAAGTAGTAGTGAAAAGATAATCCATTTCTTTTTGTTAAAAAAAATGTAAGGGGAAAGGAAAATATTTCAGAAAGTAACAATGCAGATTTTTTTTTAAAGGAAATATAAAACAGAATCTTCATAACTATTATTGTTTAAAATTTTATAGAATTAGTTACTCTTAATATTTTAACAAAAAAAAAAGAATTTAAAATTTTTTTAAAAATTATTATTAGCAATACCTTTCTCTCAAAAAAGATTCGGCAATATTAAATAATTCTTTTAGATTTTTTTAAAAAGACGAAAAAAATAATTACATTTTTTTTAAAAAAATATTCATAAATTTAAAGTAAAAATTAAAAAGCTCAAAAACAAAATAAGAAAAGATATAATCTTGTCATCAGCTCACAGGATTATATCTATAAAAAAATGTTTTCTAACTTGTATTAATATTGTCAGAGCAAAATATATCAATACAATAGTGTGAGGAGCACGAAAAAAGAACAAATTAATCAAAAAATACGAAACATATTGAGCGAAAAATAAAAATCAAGAAAACACAGAATAAAACATAAAATGAAATATATAAAGCGAGAAGCAAATTTATGTTTACTTCCACTTACCTGCATCTTTCAAAAATGATTTTAAATATTTTCGCGCCAAGTTTGCCAGATTACAAAATAAGAAGATATAAGCTTATATAGAGGACCATATGATCATTTACAGTTATGAATCATATATGCATCGCTGTGAAGTTTCAGATTGTAACAAATAATTTCAGTATTGGATATATGTTTTCAATTCTAAATATTATTTTTTCTTTCGTTTTTATTTTAATTTAATGTAAAATTAAAAACGAAGTTTGTGAATACAGAAATTAAATTTCACAAGTTTGACTTTTTAGAAAAAATGGGATAATATCTCGTAATTTCTGAAAGGAGCAAGTTAAAATCATACTTTTTGTGTGAATTAATACTTGTCTTGTGTATCTTACTTTTTAAGCTATGTAAACAGTTTTATTTTAAAGTTTGTCAGACCCATACATATGTTTTGCTACAACTCAGTGTGTTTCAAAATTTCAGACACATTTTTTACTCTCTTAAAATTACATAGTAATATTTAGAACTATAACAGTTAAAATTATATATTTTTAATAAAAATTTATCTCTTCAAATTATATCACGGAACTATTCAAATAATTTCTTTTAAAATAGCAAATTAAGCTGAATTTTGTTGTGTGAAATAACTTTCATTAATTTTCTAGTCTATGTACATATGTATTTCTTGTGTAGTAATTGATATGTCTACAATTGAAAGGGACAAGCAAAAATTAAATTTCAAAAATTATTTTTTATTTACAGATCTTTTTATACAACAAATAAAACATAACACAGTCAAACTAATATTTTTCTTTTCATTTTGACAATGAACAATTACATAGAAAGTCTATGAAGAGATCTAAGTTGAGTCGAGATAAAACAATTATAAAAATGCAAATATAATATTACATTATGAAAACACTCTTTGGTCTTAATATGAACAAAAACATCAGTCTGTCTATCTATAATTACAAAATAAATACAGTTCTTGTGTAAGAAATATAATTCATGAGCATAAATAACTGTAATTTCAGTCTTATAAAAAAAATCAGCAAAAACTTTCATTAAAAATTGTAATATAATTCAAATAATTACAATTATTATGAAATAAATAATATAATTTCAATAAATTTTCTAGTTAATTTAGACAGTAACCAGCACTGTCTCTTACAAAGATTTAAAATTATATTAAGAAAATTTATACTCCATAAAGCAATTACAGTTTGTTTAAAGATTTGAAAAAAAAAAATAAAATTTAAATTATTTCCAAATAAATAAGGCAACTCACTGCAGGCTTCATAATCAGGTATTACTTAGCTAGGTTACATCACATTTTATTTTATAGTTTACAATCTTTTTTTTGACACAAATTTGCATTAAAAAAACTGGATACTTATAAAATACAGTGTGCTCTTTTATAAAAAGTATAAATTAAGTATCAAAAAAGTTTTATAAAATGCAAAAGATCACAAGCTTTTCTCCTTTAAGTATTAAAACTCAAAATGCTTAATGTCAAAAAGATAAAACTAATTATCTTGCACAAGCATTGGTTTTGAAAAAAAAAGCACAGTGAGTTTTCACATAGAAAAATTTACATATCAAATATGAAAAGAATTCTTTTAACTAAAATTATAGCACCAGAATATAAAGGTGGGTTTCTCGTGACATTCAGCCTTCTTATTTGCACGTGAAAAGCATCTTTCAGATGTTTCGAAACTGTCATATTTTTTTGTATTCAAAATTCAGTCTTATCAAGGTTAAAATGTTTAGTAGGATGTTTTTTTTTACATTTTGAAAGGTTTTATTACTTTTTAAAAGTAGTATTTTATTACAAATCTAAGCTGGTACAATGTATATGCAATCTCATAGATGTTTAAAATCCATTACCATGGAAGTATTTTAAAAGTATATTTAATTCTGTTAGTCATTATAGCAAATATTAAGTAACATTAATCGTCAATAAGAAAGGAAATTGTTATTTTTAAATATGTTCAACAAAAACTTTTTAGAACACAAAATTAATAAAAATAATTAATTTAAACAATGGATTGCTTTAATACAACAATTAAGGCAACCATTCAAATGTAAATGGAAAAAAAAAGTAACATTAGAAAATTTTTTACCTGATTTTTTTAAAGTAAAATTTTTTATCGTGTTTAGAAAATTGATGATTTTTTTGTTAAATGAAAATATATTTTGCCTTATTAATAGTATTTTCAGCGAGATAAAAACGCCCATCAATATGATAGAAAACAAAGTTATTAAGTCAAATCATATGACTTAATGTCTTGATTTTTTACAATTGTATTTCAAACACATTACAGTGTAGATTCCAGTCCTGAGGTTAAAAGTTCATCTGAATGTAAACTACTTCCATGACTATCCATACTTGTTGAGTCACTGTCATTACTGTGAGGACTTGAATAACTAGCAGCTTCTTGAAGTCGCATCAGCATATTTAACTGCAAAAAATAATATTCAAATTTCATTAGTTGGAATAATTAATTAATTTTATGAGTAAAAATTAAGGTATTGTTCAAATATTGCATTATTTTCTATGGGGGCATCTTAGCAATGGTAACATTGCTTTAATAGAAAAATTCGTTTTTCAAATAGCAAGAATGATAGATTTTTTTTTCTTTAAAAAAAAAAAAAAGGTTACAGAATTAACTGATAAGGGAAGAGTGTATTTGAAATTTTAATATTTGAATAACCCTTGTGTTTTGTGAAGGCTAATTTATTTATTCTAACATAAATCTTAATGAATGATTGTCAAAACTACTTTCATGCACTTTTTTTTGTAAAATTGCATTAGTTTTTGTAGCAAAAAGGGAAAATTGGTAATTTTAAAGTTGCTATCAATTCTCAATTATGTCTCCATTAAAAAAAATTCAATAAAATTACGCATAGAGAAAATTATGCATCTGATTTACCAATCATATCGAATTTGAAAAATCATTTAATTTGATCATATTGAACTTGAATATATGTATTGAAATTGATTAATCTGTACCAGCGTAGTAGTGCAGCCCAAGGATACATTAAAGTTTTAAAAATACCTTTCTGTCATCTCAGAAAATTATCTTGGTTGCCTATTATTTCTTAAATATTATATTTCATTGTATTTAAGTATTTTAAAGATTAAAATTAAGAATACATATATTTTTACTTTTTGTTTAATAACATTTTATGTTTTATATTGTTATGTTTAACAACTATATAATTTATCATATTTTTTTTGATCTAGATATTAAATTTATAGTAAAAACGAAATACTTCATGAATCTAACTAGTATGTTAACATATACTATTCTACATTATCATGGTGTAAGAAAACTATTGAAATATATTACCAATGGATCAGCTTCATTGTTTGGATTGTTAGTATGATGACCTTTGGATCCAACGCTTGGACCTGGATGACCTTCATAACCAACATCTTCAGGTCTTAATCTAAGGAGTTGGGGCTCACTTGTGGTGCCATGCATTGGCCAAGGATATGTTTCGTACACCCATTCAGCTGGATCTTCCCAAGGTGCCCTTCTTCCGTACAACTAAAATAGAATAAATTATATATTTTTTAAAATTTAAGTGATTTGATGTTTTTTTCATTAAAATATCTTATTTCTCTTTTTTTTCTTTATTAAATTAAAATTTTAAATATAGTAATACACAATCAATACACACAAAGTATTTTCAATATATATGACAGTCATATTCTGATGTGATATTAAATAAACACAAAAAATGTATAAAATAAAAGTAATCATTAGACTCTTAACTTCAGTTTTAATCAAACACATCTTAAAAGGGTTTGCTTTAAAGCTAAATTTTGATCTACAAATAGTCGATTATATTATCTCGTGTTTAAACTATGTGGAGAATCGAGGGAGAAAAAATCGTTGGCCGTCATCACGGATCAAACCCGGGACCTTTGTGTTCATAATTAAATGCTTCAATCACAATGAAAAAGGGTGTGCACCCCAGGACTAGGGTGAGTTAGGAAGCTTTATTGAGTTGCCACACAATAGTTTTACAAAAAATAAAACGTATTTTTCTATTAAAATTTGGATTATTTTTATTTTTTTTAAAATTATAAATGTAATAAAGTTTAGCATAGCACAGTAATCAAGTCACTGAGTCATCATTGTGATGGATTAGGGTTCTATCCCTGAAGTAAATTCATCTTCAGATTCATCATGTCAACTAGCTGAGAAGTAAAGAAGGTCAGTGCAGAATGATGTCCATATTGTGAACTTCATGCCATACTAAGGGGTGAAAAACCAGTTCCGGTAGTACCACTTTTATGTGAGCCAGAATCAATGAGGTCTGGGGTTCATGGAGGTTAAGGCTTTGCAATTTCAAGACCAACAGCATGATTGTGGTAATGTGGTCTGCATTTCGCACAGGCTGCTTTTCCTTCACAAACACAGCTTAGTACCTTTAACAACTGAGCCATTCCTGTTTTTTTATGTAATAGTCTAATAAAATTTTGTTTGATAATTTAAAAGTTATTTATATACAAAGTATATCTATTAAGCTGAGTGTTCTGCTAAATTAGCATATATCCTGTTTTAAAAATTAAAAAAAGAAACAGTCAAAATTAAACCAATATTAAAAATTAATTATTTGCATATTGTATTAATTCTACTGTAATTTATTAAGCTATGTGTTCAGTTAAATTAATATATTTCCTGTTTTAAAAATTAAAAAAAGAAACAGTCAAAATGGAATCAATATTAAAAATTAATTATTTGCGTTTTATATTGATTCTACTGTAATCTGTTGAGCTGTGTGTTAAATTAATATATATCCTGCTTTAAAAATTGAAAAAAAAATTTAAAATTGAATCAATATTAAAAACTAATTATTTGCATGTTATATTAATCCTACTATAATCTGTTAAGCTGCATGTTCAGTTAAGTTAGATATCCCGCATTAAAAATTGTAAAAAGAGACAGTCAAATTTAATCAATATTAAAAATGAATTTAATTTACCTGTAAGCCTTCTCTTACAGCTTCTAGTACATATGGAATTACACTGTAATTCCATAAATCAGTAAACCACACTTGAGATCCTGAGAGATCAACGGGACATGACAAGAATAACCTAGGACCTGAAATTTACAATTAAAATTTATCATTAATTAAAAAATAAAATTAAAAAAAAATAGCTTTTAGCATCAAGTTATTATACTTAAAGTGACCAGAGATCACACACTGTTTCATTGATTCACTAGCAGAATGTTCCACATTTTCGTTTAAGTTCTACTGTTTAAGTAAAATATCAATTAACTGGATTTTTTTAACCTTTTAGAAAATTTTCATCGCGTGCACATACATGCATAATTATTATGTAAATGCTCTACACACATAATTACTATGCAAATGTGCATTATGTAACCTTGCATTTTCGAATATGTAAAGGGAAGTAGTTGAATAGACAGTTTCTTATTCTGACTGATACCTATGCAGATATACTAAAATATTTGTTATGAAATTCTGTCATTAACACCATTGAGTTATTTTTCAGCTTAAATTCGTTTTTGGTGCATGTGGATGAATGTGATAAGTTACGAAATGAGATTAATGCGAGATTCGATTTTGCATAAATAAAAACGACACGATAATTTATTATTTATGTCGTTAGTTCAAAAATGAAAAGAATTACAATGATTTCACAAAACATGTATATTGCAGGAGAAGACATGTCAAATTTATTTCTTGAGAGACCTCTGAAAAAAAAATTATTTTGTCTCTCTTTCCTGTCATAACCATGCCTAGATATTTTAGTTGAAAAAAATCTTGTCACATAATCATTAATTTAAAGACAATTTAAAAAGTATATTTATTTTTACATAAATCTTTTCATATTAGAAAACTGTTTTAAAAATCTTACCTATTGTGACATCAGAAGAACTGTGAGTTTCAAGATATTTGTTCAAATGATGCCATACTTTTGGCATCCAGTCAATTACTTTGGCGATTTCTGCATTTCGTATGCCAGTTTTAACCTCTTCTTCAATCAACTTTCTTTTTAAGTATCTGCCTAAAAACCCTTTCACAGGCTCCATATGGTTAGCACATAACACCCATCTAAAAATTAGTTTGACTTAGTATTTTTAAAAATATATTTATAAATTTATTTTCAAAATATATATATATATGAATATTTAATATTATAAAATTATGTATCCAAAATTGAATGTGATAATCATAAATTTTTAAAAAATTCAAATATTTATTTACACATTATTAAACAAACTCAAACAATAAAATTGCAATAAAAATAGTTTAAGACAAATAATTTTTTATCATGATATTTAAAGTGCTGGAAATTTTATAGCATTTTGTTTGATATTTATGTTATTACCTTGCAGCATGCGAAAATGATAATTTTAATTTTATATTAATTAAATACTACACTAGAAAACAAAATCAACAGCAAAGTTTACGCATTTTAAGTTTATCTGTGTTACAACAAATGACTAGAATAAATGAAAGAATGTTAACTCAATATAATATAATATACCAAATATTGTTTGTGTCTGTTTCATTTTTCAACTTCAGTAATAGAAGTTTATACATATATCTCAGGACAAATAAATGTTGGTAGTTGTACAAAATATTTGGAGAAAAAAAATCTGATTAATTCTTGCTAAAAAATTACTCACATAACATTGTAGAATTGTTTTGATGTATTACTGTTAGCAATCATTAAACACTTGGATTAGAAAAAAAAAACTTTTATAATTACAAATCAATATCTTACAATGCCACAGACTTTACTTTTGAATGTATTTACCTGAAGTTATGATGAAGTTGAAGGTTAGTAGTTGAGCAGGTAGCTTGGTTCATTGTGCCAATGATATATGGGCTGTAATAAGGAGAAATTGAAATTATAAGAAGGGCTTCTATTTTTTAATGAAAATAATCTCACTCTAGGTATTTTTTTCTATTTGGCAAAATAGAAAGAGAACTGTAAATAATATTTAGTGTTACAATTATATTTTATACATTGAAATAGTATAGTCTTTTTATTTTATATATATATGTAGTAGTAAAGTAGATTCTTAATGTGAAGAGTTTTTTAAAAATGAATATAAAATTACAAGAGATGTTAGCGCACAACTTTTTTTTATCAGAGCTTTTAAAGATTTTTTTTTCATTGTATAAGAATTAAATGTAAACTAGGAGGCTTCGCCCCCTGCTCGCTGGCGCTCGCCAACCCTCGGAACTGCTTTGGCAGTTCATTTCGGATTGCTTCGCAATCCGATGCTCGCTTTGCTCGCTCATTGGATACGTTCTTAACGTCTAGCTTTTGTATACTTTTTTGAACACTGAAGTTTCGAAAGCCTTTCACTGTAGAAAATTCCAAACCTGTGCATTTCAATATTAATTTGAAATTGCAAACAGTTCACATATTTTTCTTAATCACACTATTCTAAATTTCAGTTGTTGAGAAAAGTAACTGTTGTAAGTTTTGTTTTAAAGTCGTTCCCACCAGAGGGCTAAAACCATGTGTTGTAAAACAATATGAAATAGTACTGAACGCCGGATGTAAAGCATCGGCTTCAATGAAGATAATTTTGTGAGAATTGTTTTGATAATTCGGTAAGAATTCACCTGATTAGACATATGCTCACTACGTGCTCTTGCGCGCCGAAGCCTATCAATCAAAACGTATTAGCGATTTACATAATATAGATTAGCCATATGATGCTCACTACGTGCTCTTGCGCGCGGAAGCCTATCAATTAAAAATGAAAACTGTTGCCAGTGCGAGAAAAGAAATATCATCGGTTTTATTGATACATACGTACATATTAGCGTTTTATATAATATAGATAGTTCAAAAAACTGATTAAATTTAACTAAATTTTTTTTACTGGGTCTGGGTCTTTACTTTTAAATAATAATGATCAAGTAATCTTACCACTTTTGGTATTTGGCACTGAGGAAACCATTGAAAACTTCACCTAGAGAACCTACATGATGTAAGTTGTCTAATATTATCACAGTTGGTAAATCTGACACATTACTGAAAAAGGAAAAAAAAAAATTAATAACAATTCTGAAAGTTCTACAGCTTATATTACAACCAAGAAAGCATTTATTATTATAATTATTATTTTAAAAAAAAAACGACTTTGCTAAACATAATAATATGTACTGATTCAAAATTTTTAAAACTATCACTGTAGAGAACTCTTAAAGCAAAATAATTCTGTTAGAAACAGAGAAATTGTCTTCAAAATTAAAAACTGAAATGAGTTTGCTTCAAAAAAATTTTAAGATAATTTTTTATTTTATTTAAGATTGACTTGATTTATTTTAAAAAGGAACAAGAAATTAAAATGAATTTTCTAAACTACACTTTCAAAAGCAAACATTCAGCAAATGATACTACTAAACTTAATTTATAACTATTGCAAGTTATTATTTGTTTAAAGTTTTTCTAATAATTATGTTTTTTCTTCATCAAAAATAAATATGCAAAGAAACTAACTTACAAACATTAAATTTTAGGGGGAGGAAAAAAAATCAATTCATAAGAAGCTTCTGTAAATATGTCTTACTGGCAAGAAACATATGTATGCAGAGAAACTGAATTACAGGGATTTTTGGCAACCAAGAAGGAAAATAGCCAGGATAAAAATGGCTAATGGGAAAGTTTGCAGATTTCTTATTTTAAGATTTAATACAAATATTTTAACTCAATAAAGTGTTATTTCTTATTTTTTAAATCCTATTTATTTTAAAGCAAATTTATTACCAAGAAACATATGTATGAAGAAAAACTGAATTACAGGGATTTTTGACATTCAAGAGAAAATTAGGCAGGAAAAATAGACATTGGGAAAGTTTGCAGTTTTTTTGTATTAAAATTTAATACAAAAATTTTAACGCAATAAAGAGTTATTTCTTATTCTTTAAATCTTATTTATTTTAAAATTCTATCTGTGACAACAGTTCTGGATGTTAGAAATGAGTTTTTCTTTACTTAGCAGAATATAATTTGGCCTGAGAAACTTTTATAGTTTGTATCTTATAAATGGTAAGAAATAATAAAATATATAAAAGATTTTAAACTGAATTACGAATATAGGTTTCATTAATAGTCATGGTAAAAATATGTTATAAATTTATTTAAATTGTAGTTTGTTTATGGAGATGGGATATAAAATTTATAGTTTATCTTATAAATGGTAACAAATAATAAAAGAAATAATAAATTTAAACCCATTTTATGAATTACGAATATAGGTTTCATTAAAAGTCATGGAAAAATATGCTCTTAAGTTATTTAAATAGTAGTTTGTTTATATGAAGATGAGAAATAAAATTTATAGTTTATCTTATAAATGGTAAGAAGTAATAAAAGAAATAACAGATTTTAAACCCATTTTATGACTTATGGATTTAGGTTTCATTAATAATCATGGACAAAATATGCTCTAAATTTATTTAAATTCTAGTTTGTTGATGGATATGAGATTTAAAATTTAAACAAAATAAACTATAATTTTACATCTAACTTAAAAAAATACAGTTGGATGCAGCAACAATGATGCAATAAACTAACCTTTCTTGTTAAATTGTAGAAGCATATTAATGATATAAATTAAATGTATGTGTTTTTCTTTGAATTTCAGAATTTGGTTCAAAGAAAATAGAATAGCAAGAAAATAAGAAAAATTAAAAATCTTAACACATTTGTACCTTGTTTCACATTGCTCAGCAACATTTGACAAATACTGTCTCAGTTCTTTCGCTGATTTGTGGTCAACACTGAACGTTGCAATGGAGCCTGGACTTAGTTCCTTTCCATTCCTGGAATTAGAAAGTTCCTTAATGTAATACACATGTAATATGAATACAAAAAATATAATGTAATATAAATCTAAAAATAATTTAAAATTTATATTTTTCAGATTTACTGGAAGGAAACATTCCTTTAAAGCTATATTATTCATTATCTACATCAATTTAAGAAGTTTATAGAATAAATAATGTTGCAGGATTTGAGAATATTCCATGTAGAAATTGGATGGAATATTTACAAAGCGTGTATTTCTTAGAGCATTTTTAAGATATTTCATCAAAAAATAAAAAAAATCATTAGAAAATAATAAATGTTACAAAATATATTATAAATATTTATATTTTATTAGTTACAAATTGTCTAGATCAGTTAAAATAGCATATGAATATAGAGGCCCATTAAAAAAATGCTTAATTCACTGGTTTAAACTAATTTTCATGTTTAGTGTAAAGATTAGTTAGATGAAAGTTGACATTTTTCAAAAATTATAAGTTATAAAATTTATTTTCCAGATTTATTTATTATTTTCAATTGATGTCATTTTGATTGTGTACTTGCATCAAAAACTACAGTCATAACTTTTTCTTTGTAAATATTAAATACACATTCAGTTAAAAAATTAATTCAATTAACAAAATGCTTAAATCAGTAGTTTGAACTGGAAATAATGATCGTCAAGGATTTTAAAATTTACAAAGAGTTCCGCAAAGGTCACTGTTACTGTATGTTTTTTAATCCTTTTTAAAATGAAGACAAAAGAAGGAAACACATTTGGGGTTCAAATTTAGTAATTGATAAAAAAAAACACTGTTACAATCTGATAAGCAATTAATGAAGAACATCAAAACCAGTTTGATGGATAGACGAAGCTTAGAGGTGTTTTTAATAATCATCTTTTGACTCTTATCTGCTTCTTTATGCAATCATAAAACAGGTTTTGTACATTCACTTTCTGTTGTATTTTGTCTTCATTTTTGATTAAAAAAAATGCATAAATACACATTGGCAATCTTTACAGAATACAATGTATATAAAAGGGTGGTAATTACAGAACACTTTGTATCAAATAAATAAGGAACTTACTTGAGAACAAGGTATTCAGCTAACTTTTGAGCCACATATGTTTTTCCTGTTCCACTAGGTCCACATAGGATGATTCTCCGATGCTCAGTTAACAGTGAGATATATCTTTGTACTATAGATTTTGGTATTAAGGTCTCAAATGCAAAGGCATCAACAGAATGTTGTCGTGTACCTGTAGGAGAAAATTAATTATATGAATGTTACTGAAAGTGAGAAAATACAAATTCACAGGCATATATGCTAAGAGTGTTCTTCAAAGCTCTTTCAGCTAAGAGGTAGTCAAAAATGATAGCTTAATTCCCCCCAATAGTTTTGATCTTTCTTCTCTTTGCCAAATGTCACGCTATATTATATAAATATACATTTATAAAAACATGCATAATGAAATAGTACATTATACACCATAATTGAAAATTTATTTTTAAATCTCAACTCTGTGTTTTAATGGTATTTGTAAGCAGAAAAATAAATAATTTTAGGCATATAGATTTTCTATGAAATAAGATTAAGGTTTTTAGGAGAAAAAAATTAAATTAATATACAACAGTAGTAACATTTATTAAATTATATACAGATGAAAAAACAATAGAGCAAGTAATATTTTGTAATTTTAATAAGATTTTGCCTTAAAAATAATCTTAAAATTTGATTTTAAAACATGACTTCTCTATAAAAATCCCAATTTTGAAGCATTTAAAAAAAAGAAACTCTTGCCAAAAATTATTATTTTGTATTTCATTTTATTTGTTGTATCAAATTAAATAAACCTTTATTTTATAAATTAAGACCAAATAATAATATTTCTAAGGAGCTCAAACAATGCAGTATCAGAGAAACTTTTCAAACGATACGAAACTAGATCACATATGCTTTTTAGTTTCACAAAACTGTGTTTTTTTTTATTAATTGCATTATTTTTACAATTAGTATAGAGGTCACTTTGGGCACTAGGCAAATATGTATGAATAAAGGATAATCAAAGTGTAATTGTATAATCGTTAAAAATTGTATATTATTCTGGAAATAAAAGATATTTCAGATGGTGACAGAGCATTTAAAGAACAGTCTTAATGTATCCTTTGTTCAATTTTATTTGAAATTACAGTCGAAAATTAATAAATTATACAATGTTTTGAATTACAGTAAAAAATAATTAAAGACATACCTTTCAGAACTAGTTTTACGTGCATGCTATCACCTACTATGTAGCCACAAGGCAAAAGCTCAGGTGCATCAGCTTCTGAAATTACAAAATCAAAATGTTAATAGGTATTTATGACGAGGTAATATGATACTTTAGAAATAAGTATTTTTTGGAATTAATACTTATAAATTAAAAACATATAGAGAAAAACATGTAAGTAATAATTAGTAGAATTGATACTTATAAATGAAAAACATAAGCGAAAAATATGTAAGCATTTTGTGGAATAAATACTTAAAATTTAAAGACATAAGAGAAAACAATAAAAGTATTTTGCGGAATTAACACTTCTAATTTAAAGACATAAGAGAAAAATATGTATGTAATTTGTGGAATTATTTCTTATAAATTAAAAATATGAGAGAAAAATATTTAAGTACCTTTGGATCGTATAATTTCTCCTACTTGGTAGTTAACAAGACTTTCTGCACTAAGACCTAAATTGGAGACTGGATCTACTCTAAGAACATATTCCTGAAAAAATAAATTATACATTAGTAAATGAACAAGAAAGCTACTGACATTTAGTAATGATACTTTTGTAAATATAATTTAAACTAACAACAATCATACAAACCTTAAATGATCTCTTTACTAGGTTGTCTAACAAATCCCATTTAGTTTTGGAGCTTACAGAGATGCTTCCAATTAATATTTCAGAAAACGTCTGTAAAAACACAAACATAAATATTAAATGAATAAAAACTTTAGAGAAAAAGGAAGTAATTTTTCATGTAATGTCGTCAATTTTTTATATAATTACCATAGATTGTTTTTGGAATATAGAATTATCCCCATGGCAACCAAGGTAAACGGAAACATTTATGAGTTTTCCATCTTGATCATTTCTAGGCTCATTCAAATACATATCAGCTACAATTATGAAAAAGAAAAAAATTTTAAACTACAAATATACCAATTTTAGAAATTAAATAATTATTTTTAAATAGTAATATTTTAAATTAATTGAATTATTAAATTGTTCAATTTTATCCGCTCACTTATATATATGATTTAGCAGAAAATGTAAAAATATTTGCATTTGTGAATTTTATGTATTTACACTATAACTTTAAATAATTATGGTAAAATAACTAGTTTCCAAGGAACTGACAAAGAACTGGCCACGTATTAGCCACCATAAAAAAACATGTTATGCATTATTTAACATATATTCCATATTTAACATAGATTCTATTTTCTAAATTAACAATTACTTTTTTCAATTACGTAAAATAATTAATCTTAATTCAAAATTACAATTAGTTAAATTTTTACTTTAAAAAAGTTATCTAGTGTATTTTTTCGATTTAAACAAGAGTTATTTATAAATGTACATTTATTAAAATCATTTATAAGATTAATATTATTGATCATGATTATAATTTATATAAATTACAACTTACCAATACTAGGTGGTCCTGAATTTTCAGAGGCGCTTAGCCGTTTTTCTAAGCTTTCTAAGCTGTTTCTAAGTGGTAAGGAACTATGTGAAGAGGTAAGAGATTTTGTAGAAACAAGCCTTTGAAGTCTATCATTATCTTGTTTCAAACTAGACATTTCACTCTGAAATTGACAAATTCATAAATACAATTCTGACATCTCTTATAATTTTTAAAATCAGTTACAGAAAAATAATAAATACAATACTTAGTTTTTTAAAAAAAACAACTTATTGTAAGAGCACTAAATAAAGAGAGAATAACTTAATTTTTGTCTCACCTAAATCAGAAAAAGTGTCGTGCACTACTTTTGAAAACATGGGGAAAAATTTAAGCTCTGAGCAAAGTTTATGGTGAAACTAATACACCTCCTCATTTCTTACTGTAGATGCGTATAAAAATATCATCCCCTTTTTTTGAGTTCATTTGAAAAACTTAATTTTTAAAATCTTCTTATTTTGTTACTTGAGTTTTGTAACTATTAGTTTATGTAGGAATGTGATTGACAATTAATTCTATATCTGATAAATTCTGATATTAGTGGTCAAGAAACGATTGAGACTTGTATTGTCATATGAGGCAGAGCTCCAGAAATTTGAGTACTTCAGCTGGTTGGAAAGTAATCAAACATTTTAATGTCAATAAATTATGTTTGGCAATCTAATTAATTCTATAAGTAGCAGTTAAGCAACTCGTGATAAAAACAAGCATTAACTTTGCAAATCATAAAAATTGTTTTATTTTAAAACCCTTTGATGCAGATGGGACACTGGTGTCTCTTTTACACTTTTTTCCTGGCTCTCTAATTACAAGCAAAAATATATTTTGCTAACAAAAAACTTTTAATTATTAAAAAAAACAAAACAATCTAATAGTTACTTAGGAAATTTTTACAACTATTGAAACTATATTTGAACTAAAATATAAAATCCAAAAAAAAAAAAAAAAAAAAAAAAAAAAAAAANAAAAAAAAAAAAAGTAGAAATTTTTTTGCCATTTATATTCAAACATTTATCAATAATAGATTACGTAAATTAATGCATTTCAATGATGAATAACTGTTTATCTTAGATCTAAATAACTGCAACTTTGAAAAATTATTGCTTGAAAGTGATCTTGTGTTTGGAAGATTTTACCTTTAACACAGAAAAAGACATGCTGTACTTCATAACAATAAATTATTAAAATGCTGACGTATTTTGACCTAAATTAGTACAAATAATGAAAAAAGTGTGAAGAAAAGTTTAATAAAAATTCTGTGTCAAAGGGTAAATTGCAAGCTTAAATGCACTTTCTACATTTTATTTAAAGAAAAATAAGAAATGGAAAAGGCTAATAAAAGTAAAATTCCATTGAGAAACATATGAACTGAAACAGAAATAAAAACTCTTATTTATTTATGAATTATTTTAATTTGAACAGATAATGTTTCTAAAAAAATTAAGAAATATTTCTTACAAGTAAAGTTTCTTTTACATGATAAGTATTTTATTCCAATGGGAAATACTTACTCTCATTTTATTTACAGTTTCTTTTAAGTTCTCTAACTGATGGGCTGAACTCAGAGCATCTAAGCGTATGTCTGTCAGCATCATATCTTTCTCTCGCAACTGTTTCTTCAAGTCTTTCACATCCTCTGGTGAATCTTTATCCTCATCCTCTTTCTCATAAAGGCTGTAACAGTAATAACTCTATGTTTATCAACATCTTCATTTCATATACATTATATGTGTCTATTAAGTGTTTACTTGGAAAAGTTTTAAAAAACTCTTTATTACCAGAATTTTTACTTCGTGAATGGATGAGGATTAGTTAAGGATGCAAACTATAATAAGTCTACGCATTTAATATGTTATAATTCTTGTATTTAGGATGTTTTTAATGTATAATTTTAGAGTCTTTGTCATAAATAAATAAAAAACACATTCCGTTTGCAAATTTATAATTAAGCAAGGAATATACAAAATAAATTAATGAATTAAAAAAAAACGCTATTCAATCTAACAAATCACTACAGAGGACGGGAATAAAGGCATTCAATCTCAACTGAATGCTGTAAAGAAGTTGAAAGGAAATCATTGGAAAAACCTTCAAGATTCCTCAGGCAATTAAAACTGTTTTGTCGTTTTTCTCCCCACCTTAGTTGCTAGTGATTTGATATTGCTTTGTTTCTTATGCGCTTGAATAACGATTTACAATCCTGATTGTGTATACATTTTCTTTTTTCGTAACAATTATAAAAATAAATATTGAGGGCAGTCATTAGAAACACCCCCTAGACTAAAATATCCTCAGTGGTGGACGGATCATGCGTTAGAGTTCCCTTGCTATCAGGGTAACCGAGGGAGGATTTCGTGGTTTTCTTCTCCATGTAACGCAAATGCGGGCTAGTCCCATCGAAAAGTTCTCTATAGGGTAGTTTGACCCAATGTTTGATTCAGATTCAGGACTCTTTTTGTCTTTTGAATTAGGTTCAAAATTACAAGGATACAGAGTTGAACCTTGATTGTCGTAAACTCAGAATTGGGTCAGTTGTTCAATGCCGGTTATAAATTATAGATATAAATATTTTGCGTACTAAGATAGTGTATAATCAGAACTAACTATTAAAGGTTTATTCTTTGTTCTCATTATTGAAATAGTTACAGTATTTCGATTTTTTTCCTCCTTAAATAATATTTCATTTAGTTTTGGCATGAGGTATTTAATTTATAAAAGTAACAATGAAAATATTTACCAAGAAGATGAGTGAGATTGCTTGAGAGTGGGTGAACCTCCATTAGTAGTATGACCAGCACCTAATAAAGGAGAGTTTGGAGTCGATGAATCTGATTGCAAATGTCGTATATCTTCCACATCCGACACGGATCCGTTTTTGTTCTTTTTGCTTCTAGAAAAGGCTTTACTGAACGAGCTCCTCAGCTGCTTGGAATGAAAAAAAAAATATTGTCATGATCAGAACATATCTAAGAAAAAACATTTTAATACACCTTAGTAACTGATGTTTGACTTCAATTAATATCCAAGTCGAGAATATTTAATAATATTTTCTAAGTTAATGTTAAATGTCGCAAAAACACAACTAGAAATTCACTAAAGAAGTCATGATTGTAATTTCATTGTTCTATTCTAAAAAACGTAAAAAAAAATTAGAGACGTTGATATATAGGGAAAAAAATAAATAATAAAATTTTTTAAAAAAAATTACGCTTTTAACAGGGTTTAAAATAATAAAATAATTTAATTTTTGTCACACTTAAAAAGAAACACATACGCTGTAAAAAATTCTGGTTCAATTTATGGTAATAAGTATCGGCACTCAGGGCGTCGGTGTTTTTTACCGTAATAATCCATTTTTACCAGATTATGCTACGGAACAAATAATCTGATATACGGTATTTTTTAAGGTAATAATTACCGTAAAATCACCGCATCACTCTCATTAAATAAATATTACTGTAAAAATTATGGCAAAATCCATTTTACGGATATTGCAACCAAAGTGTCAGTACTTTATACCATAATTTGATTTTGAATTTTTTACAGTGTAGGGGGAAATACTTTAGAATGACGTGAGGGAAAATTTCGGTGGAGATAGAAGTTATGAAAGCAATAAGTTCTAGGAATTTCGCTTTATACAAAACGTTTATGACTTGTAAATAAGAATATACTTCTTTCTCATTAGCCCTCTTGAAAAACGTATTTTTTAAAAATTTCATTTTATTATTTCAGTTTTGTACCTGCTATAGTTTGTTGCGTCCAAAAGAGGTCAAAAATGTATTAGCGATATAAGTTGTTTGATGAGATAAGTTTTTCTTAAAACATTAAGAAAGCAATCGTAACTTGGCATAGAGAATTTGATCACTTTAGCTAGTCAGAAAGAGGTCGGAAAATCAATGCAACTTCTACTGTATTAGGGACAAAGCACTAGTAGAGATTTAATCCCTCTAGCGAGTCGGAAAGTGGTCCAAATTGACACTGCAAGATTCCACTCCCACTGGTACTAAAGCGAGTTAATAAAAACGAAGATATGACAAAGAAAAAAAAAGCATTTTCACAAATTTACTAAAATAAAATGGGAAAGCTGACAAATTAATATTTTTTGACATATTTAAAAACTAGTGTAGAGTTTGACTTATATGGAAAACCGTACGCTTAACTGGCTGATATTAATAAGTTGAAAAAGTATAAGTATTTAAATTATTTATTTAAATAAAGTAACTCATTGAAGTTTACAGTTTTTTCATATAATTACTTACCCAGCCCTTCTTCTTTTTCTTTTTGTCATGATCACCAGATTTACCACTGTTACCACTACAGGCACTAGAACATGAATTAACACTTGACATAGAATCTGTAGAAAACTGTCGAGATATCCTTTGCTCTTGAAGCGACACTAAAATCAATTTTTAAAGATTATTTCTCAGTCATTTTAAGAGGTAAATCATCAATTAAAATTGCGTATTAAATCAAGTAATGTTTAGTTGAACTTGTAACATTGCATGTTCAAATCATATTAACTTTCATCATGATTAAATTGCAAGTTAATTTGTATTCATTCAAAGAAAAATTTAAGAACATGCAGAGCTTAATGTAAATTTAACTTTCATTAATGTTTAGGTTCGTAAAAACAATGTATTTTCGGATAATTATCTTTATCTTTACTTTTTTTTTTTGGTATGAAATAGTGATTACTTATTCAGTTATTTAAATCATTATTTTCGGTTGTAAAAATTTTATATATTGTAAAACTTTTAATAATAAAGCTATTAAGGATCAGAACGCGCTGAAAGCGAGTCATCTGAGAAAAATAATAGAAGTTAAAATATTAAAATAAAACAATTATTCACTGACTGAATTTATGAAAGATTCCAAAGGTTCCTTTTAATATTTCAGACAAAAACGCCAAAAAAAATCGAATAATTACCGATTAAAATTTAGCTAAGTTAAAAACAAGTAAAGAAATTTAAAAACAATAATCTAGCAGATGGAATTTTTTTATTCCTCTTTTTCTAATATAAAATTTTAATAACTATAACTATAGATTTTTATTTCATCCTTCGCAGTAATTGAACATAAGAGATGTCTCAGAGAAATTCTAAACGTAACTAAGTATTTTTTAAAATCTTGAATAATGATTTTCAGACGACATTAAAATTCATCCTTAAATTTGGCTCAAATACAAACGATAACTAATTAAAATCGATAAAACAAAACAAAAACACGTCTTTTTATTGTTATACTTATAGCGTGGGAGATTGATTTAGATAAATAATTTGACCAGAGTTTTGAAAAAATCAAATATTTCCTCACGTTTTCAGATTCATTTTCTGATTAAATTCTAAAACATATACTTAAGCGAGTTGCTTCTTCTTCCAGAGAAAGCTCATTCACAACAAAGACAGGAAAAGAGTTCCACTGCGTGCAAACGTATGCAAAATGTTAGTGTGGTAATGAATGAATAAAAGACATGCAAAGATGGAGAGTCATGCAACACAGCACATTCCATGGTTAGTTTTGCATGTCTCACCCGTATCCTTAGTAGTGTTAAAAGTATGCCTTCGAACTAAGTTAGTAGCACCCGTACTTTTCTGCACAGCCTGCATCGACTGTAGGGCCATCTTCGTTAATCCAGCTTCTGCGCTCTGCTGCTTCAGTGCTTCAATCGTCTTCCTCAGCTCAGTCAATTCGGAATCCTAAAAAAAGAGATGATTCATGTGATGATTCATCAGTCAATTGTTAATTGTATGAAATAGAATTTAATATCGATGGTCATCAATATTGTGTGAACCGATTGCTTCCAGAAATTAAACTCTTATTTTAGACTATTTAAAGTAAATAGAATCAATGCAATAGCGAGTTTGCCACTATAAGCAACTACACATATTTAATGTTAAAATGGCAATAAAAAAGACTGGAGTGTAACACTGTACTGTGCTTTATGACGTCATTGAATCTGATAACTTGGTTGGTGGTTGCCCACATATGTTTGCATTACAAACATAAAGGATTATGATTGAAAGAAGAAAAAAAAAGGTCAAATGATTTTCACTTTTCTGTATTTATACCAGACATAAATAAAAAAAATCTTTGCTGTATAATTTTGCTCATTTAAGCAGCAGGAAAATCTATTTTCCCAATTTTTTTATTATAACGGAAGGCTAATATTTTTCAACTTATACAAACATACAATATATATAAACTTGTCGGAATAGCGGGCTACTCTCAATTTTTCGTACTCGTTGTATCGAACTTGTACTTATTTTGATAAAAAAAAAAAACTTTTAAATACCTTCTGTTCTGCACTTGCTGTTAGATGTTGTAGCCTGTTCGTCATATTAGATAGAGACTGTTCAAAGGCAGCTACCATATGTGCCTGGAAAAAATAATAAAAATATCATTTCCATTCAAATGATCTTACAATTGAGAAAGAAGATAAGAGCTCATATAGTAAAGTAATATTTCAAAATTATGGTTTCTTAATGTCATGGTGCAACAGTTTTATATTGCAGATGCTAACTGCTTATGATTTATTTATTCGAATAATTATATATGCATATTATTATTGTAACTCTCGAGATTTTGTACACTCAAATTTTGTTGATCTAAATTTTTATTCGAGATTTTGTTTGTCCTAGCGTCCTTTACACTACAAATTTCGTCGGGGTACTACACTGTAAATAATTCTGGATCAAATTACGATATTAAGTACCGGAACTTAGCGTCCGTGAAATCCATTTTTACCGTAAAATATTTTACCGTAATTTTTACAGTAATATTTATTTAATTAGAATGATTCAGTCATTTTACGATGATTGTTACAGTAAATATTACGGTATATTAGTTTTTTGTTCCGTAACATGTTCCGGTAAAATTGAATTTCACCAATTCTATGACAAAGAATATGAAATTTAAAAAAAATTCGAAAATGAACCATTAAGCATCCAAATTCACAAATATCATTAGCCACGCTTTTCAACAAAATTCAAGTAACTATGAACAAAAACTATTGATTCATATTTTGAAGGAAATACTGAATAAATACTTTTTTTCTTCTTCTTTTTTCTTTTGATGAATGAAACTTTGAATGTGTATTTGATTATAATCTCACAATGTAAGAAATTTCCCGGAAAAAAGGGTAAAATAACAAATTTATTTAATTGTCATTTTACCATATTCAAACAAAACAGCAAAATAACCATAAGTACATATTATAGCCGAATACATATTATAGATGGGTAGCCGAGAGAGTTAGTCTGTGAATCTGATGACCGTCAGAACAGGGGTTCGAGATCCCAGAGTTGACACCACAATACTTTACCCATTCCCTTCAACACAAGAAGAGTTTTCAGTGTCTGCATTCCGGAATTTGTGACCCTGGACTATTAGAAAACGATACTCTCATTCCCGCATAAGCGACGGCACCATAAGGCTGCTTGATACAAAAAAGTCTAGTATTTCCCATGTCTTACGATAAGTGAAACAACTTTAATTAAAACACATTCCAAGTTCGTTTGATAAAACACAAGTCAACCACAACTTAATTCCAATGCCCAATACTTAACGAAAAGCCTAGCTCCAATATGCAGTTAAATTTCTTTTTTGTGGTTTTGAAACCATGCTAGTTGTATAAAGTCAAGCAACGGTATAGTTTTACNCAAAAATTTTTTTTTTTTTTTTTTTTTTTTTTTTTTTTTTTTTTTTTTTTGACATGCTTGTTGCAAACAGTTTAAAAAGCATAAATTTCATAGTTAATTGTATGGAGAGACTGCTACCTGTCATTTAACCGTACTTTTCGAATGAAAATTCTGACAGTGCATAGGAAAGTATACGTGATATTAATCTAAAGATGAGAAGTAATAATATATAAGTACTTGGCGTAGTTCTTTTTATTTAGTTCCTCAGTGATTTATTAAAATAGAAGGAACACATTCTCCCTAAAATATGTGAGCAAAAACACGAAGTTTCGTAATCACGAATAAGGGAAGATTGATATAAGAGGGTTTTTAGGACTCGTATACATATAAATGTTTCCATTGTTTTTGAAAAAAATAAAAAAAAATTGTTTTGCTTCTACCAGAATATTCATTGTTTCGAATCACACTTCTTTAAGAGTAATGCATAATATTGAACGAAACAACGTGTTTCAAAATATACTACATAAATAGGAATACGAAGATACTAAACAATAAAATGTGAAAATATTTAAATTTCGAAAACGAATAAGTCAAACAAATTAAAGAAAAAGGTATAGTACTTTGAAAATATTATTTTTAAACCTAAACGCTACTAGAAATTTCTAAAGGAACAGTAGCGAATACTTTATAGTGGGTTATAAGTAATTAAAAAAAATTAAATAAAATTGTTAGTGGATCTGAGAAAGATTAAAGGGCTCATATAGTTTACAATTACAGCATTTCCGTGACAGTTCGTTGTGGGCTAATAGAGTCATGGGTATTAAGGCTCCGTGATTTAAAAACAACCAGCCCCATATTAGGTATTGTTTTCAGCATTGCGCACCGGCTGCCTTTATTATCCGGAAAATTAGCACCCATTGATCTGTAACTTAATGGGCATCAAGCTGCCACCAATGATAGGAACACTTCATAATGACAAATGGCTGCTTTCAACCATTTTGTCACCGCGGATCAATATATTGTTAAAGAAATTGAATATTTATTTTTCGAAGATTAGGCTGCATACTAAAGCAAAAAACAACGTAAATAAAGCACGAATGATAGTACATACTACAGTTTCAGTTCTATAAACAAGATTTTTCCTCATTATTTTAACATCGTGGAAGGTTCTTGTTTATAGAACTGAAACTACAGTTTGTTTATTTATGTACTTCCATTTGCACTTTATTCACGTTGTTTTTTGCTTTAGTCTACATAGCACAAAACATACCCTATCATTTATTGGATTTGTCTATATCTTTGATTTTATAAGTAAGTTTACCTGAGTTTCTTTTATTTAGATTTAGCTTAATTATAACATCAAATCATCCTCATAACTACGTTACAGGTAGTTGTGTTCAAGACGTTTACTACTACTTCGCTTTCGTACGAAAAGAAAATACCAAAAAGAAACGAACATTATAGTTCAAATAATATCGCAACTGCAATATTTATTTCCCAATAAATTCAATAATAAACAACAATTTGAAGCAAAGGCAAATTTTTTCCTGTCCCGTAACCAGACAATGCCAACCTTGACTCCAGACAATCCGCAACTTAACTTCCCCCTCGAAACCAGGTCATCTGGATACTCGACACTGGCACTCAACTCCAAATTCGTTAAATAAGCCACAATATCTTCAATTTGTCCTCAAAGCAATAATCCCAAAAAAACAAAAGACAAGAGAAAGAAATGATTTCATTTCCAATTCTATATTATGAGCACGTCTCTCCAACGCCTTAAGGGCAATTGAGAACATTAGGAAGAACAACTCCGAAAAATGATCGTTGGAACACTTCAAATAAAGTGGCTTCAATTCAAACTGGAATTTTATATTTCTTTGGTTATTTTTCAAGGACAAGACTTTAATGACATGAAATGGCTCAACGGTCACTTCTTGTAGTGTTTGAGGAAATACATTATTAGTTTTCGTAAGTTTCTGATCTTGTTTTTTTTTCCCGAGCCCATTGTATCAATAAATGATAGGCCCTAACCTCGTCATTTTGGAAGCATGCACCTGCAACATTAGGGGTTTTATAGATGATTATGCCTTTTAAGGATTCGAATACTCGTGCATTATTTATGGTCTTCTGTAAGACTTTCGCAGGATAATAACTGCCTAAAATAAGTATTTTAAAGAAGTTTATTTTAAACAGTTCGGAAAGGTAGACACTCTCTTTAAATTATGGTATTTCAAGATGTATTTAAGATGGTCTAGTTAGTAAGAAGAAATATTTTCTCTAACATTGCATGTAAATGTTTGTTGCTGTAAAAACTTTTAGTGTATTGTTGTGTCTGTATATTTGTATTCCATAAAATGAGCGCAATTAATTTGGTTTGTCTATCGATATACTCCAAATAAATGCTATTTAATGATATTTCATGGTCATTTTATATCATTTAACCACATGAAATGGCTCACCAGTCTGTAGTGTTTGAGGAAAAACATTGCTACCTGTCGTCAGTTTCTGATCTTGCACTTTTCGGTGCATGTGGTTTAATAAATAATTATGTCTTTTAAGGATTCATACACTTGTGCATTACTTATGACCTCTTGTAGGACTTTCTCAGGATAATAACTGCTCAAAAAAGGTCTTTTAAAGATGTTTATTTTAAAAAGTTTGGAAAAGTAGATATTCTCTTTAAATTATGGTACTTCAAGAGGTATGAAAGATAAGTCTAGTTAGTAAGAAGAATCATTTTCTCAATTATTTCATGTGAATATTTATTGCTGTAAAAACTTTAAGTATGTTGTTGTTTGTATATGTTTATTCAATAAAAATAGCGCAATTAAATTGGCTAGTTCATCGATATAATCCAAATACATATTGAGTGAAGAACAGAATTAAGGGCACCAGTGAGTCCTTATATCGGCCTAAGTCCTAAGAAGATAAACAAGATGATTCTCCAGTCTTCAAACAGCACGTCAAACGAACAAATTACTCTTTTAAAAATCAACTGTTCAAGAAGAAATCAATTATCAGGACAAGTTAAGCATAAATGCATAGATTAATGTGTCGTGCAATTATAAGGAAGCATGAAAGCAAAAATTCGAAACTGGATAAATGCCTTTGTTAACTAACCAGAATTTGTGTTATATGGGGAAAAATAAATTTGTACTATGGTTAGCCAGGTAGAAATATAGCTTTTAATCACCATTCATAAACTTCTGGTGAGGTGGGGGGCATTTAATGTCATGTCTGTTATCAGAACAAATTAAAAGAACAATAACCGAAATTCAAATCTAGATGATCATTGCCAGAAGCGAGTCCTTTGAGATAATCGGATAAATTTGGGTATATTTGAGATAATCGGATTGATAAATGATAAATTTGAGATAATCGGATAAATTTTGAATTATACAAAGGACAGTTATTGTCATTAGTAATTAGCAATCAAAATGAACAATTCAATAATGCAATTTTATTATATATTTCCAAAAATAAAATTACACACTGGAATGTATTGATAACGCTATAACATTAGAATGTATCGGCAACGCTATTATATTTGAATATATCGATATATCTACTACATCTGAATATTTATACACGGCGCTGTTACGCTTAAATATATCTAAAACACTATTAAATTTTAATAAATCGATAACTTTATATTTGAATATATCGATAACTTTATATTTGAATATATCGATAACGCTATTACATTTGAATATATCGGTAACTCTATTACATTTAA